TCTTATTAAACTTTTTAAAAATGATCTTAGAATCGACATTCTTCCTTTAAGGTTAAGGCTCAGAGTCACGCACACAAAGCTGTAAGTAACAGCAGAACTCCTTTGGGGTCCCCCTTAGTAAAAAATGCAGACTGTTTTCCTTCTTGGCAGTCTCGGATGACAGAGCATGGGAATTATGGAAGATGGTCTTGGCCGAGCCACGCCTTCAGCTGGCTGCTCAGAGTTACTGAGTGTTCCCTGCATACATCCACAGGGCTGGGCCAAGTGGGGCAACCGAGAGGCACAAACCTGTTTTAACATCTAAAAAAAAAAACCTGTTGCAGTGGAGTCAATTTCGATTCGGGCTGGGGTCGCTACAATTCGGTTAACATCTAAACGAGCTTAAAATCTTACCCAACTCATGGGCTCATCCAATTATTCACTTATTAAAGAACTTTTATTGGAGCACATAATCTATGCGAGGAGTCCCTGAGCAGCGCGAAAGTGCTCAACTGCTCATCCAAAGGTTGGTGGTCTTAACCCACCCAGGCGTGCCTCAGAAGAAAGGCCTGGAAATCTGTTTCCAAAAAGTCACAGCCTTGAAAACCCTATGGAATAGTTCTACTCTGCCCACATGTGGTCGCCAAGATTCAGAAATGACTCGACAGCAACTAACGACAAAATTCTATGTGAAGGACTGAGGGTACAGCTATAAACAACAGGGATGCAAGTCTCGTTCCTCAATAGGACCGCAATTCGGAGTGTGAGAGACAGAAGCCAGCAGGTGGAGGCAGCAGGAAGCAGGAATTGAATAATGGATCTCTCTTACCACCCCTCTCCCCCAAAATTCATCCTTTATGAATTATTCTATGCTATTCCAGACTCTAATCTTACTGCTTAGTATGATAACAAGTCAGAAGTAGTTTTACTTAAATTTTAAGTTATCATTATTATTTGCTGTCTAGTCAAAGAACATTTAAAGACACCAAGGTGAAATAACGAGGCTAATGGCATGTAATCAGAGTATTAAGAAACGGGGACAGAGTGAGAAAAAGAAAAATCCCGCATACAATCTACTTCCTCAGGCTTCTAATGGCGCTGTCCCCCTCTCTTTCCCTATAAAGATAAGCCTTAACTTTCAAAAATATCCTTATTTCTTAAAAGCCACTTTGCTCAAACTGACATGCACATCAAGAAAACATATTTTCAGTTACATTCTTATCTTGGTAGCGTCAAGATGATTGTTTGATCATTCTTATCACACAATCAAATAGGAAAAATGAGAGCTCCACGAATTTCTACCCAAAGGCCTCTTTAGTCATGTCTGTACTTGAGGTTCTAACTCAAACAACAGCCCCGCTCATCTGTCACCTGACTTGCTCATCCAACCTGCAGAACAGAGCCACTTTTGAATGCAGGACCGGCAAAGCAGATCCTACCAACAAACACTTATTCTCCTCTCCTATTTGAAAGACAGCTCCCACAGCTTGAAAAGAATGAGTTACTAGGAAATTCTTGAAGATTACGTCTGTACTTGCTGTTCTCTTTCCAGTTTAAAGAGCACAAAGAACATCACAAAAATCTCAAAGGGAGTCACATAATTCTCGTAACTTGAGAGATCCTGTTTGCAAGCCAACTCCTTAGGGAAGTTATCTGAATCCATTTTCTTTTCATAAATAAATAAATGAAGATTATTCTATAAAAAAAATGATCTCAGGTGGGCAGAATTTTTTATCAACATAAAATCTGTGGTGGATTATTTTTTATCAAAAACAAATTATTTTTTAAAGAAATGTCACCTGAAATCTCTCAAATGATGTCAGTCTTACTGAAGGCTCCCAGCCAATGAAATGTCATCTTCACTTATGTTAAAAGCAGCATAGTTTCAGCTCTAAATCACAGCAAGAAAATTCTAAAGCACAAATAACATCCTTCTATTTCCAAGTAAAACGTGTTAAAAATAACTGACAACTGATAACTTTTACTCCAGTATAAGTTGAAATTAATAGTTCACCTGACCGCTCAGTTGAAGAAAAGAAAAAAGCTAGCGAACACGTTTTGTTTGATGAAATCATCTCCATCCCACCTCCGCTTCTGACCACTTAAAACACCAAAATTAAAAGAAGAAAAGTGGTTTCTTTTTATTCTGCACTCGATAAAGGCACACAAGATGTGGATGTGCATCGTCAAAACTCAGCACAAGACAAGAAAAAAAATTAATGTAAACTTTAACCAATGTTTTCATTTTTCTTTATTAAACTTCTAAAGACCCAGATGTCACTCTAGTCATACAAAGTTTTCCACATTCTCCTAAGACAATAGTTTCAGTGCCTGAGCTCGACTGTTTTAGACACGCAATTGACTGAGAAAGAGTATCTGTGCGAAAGAGTCACAAACTCAGGAGGGGAGCCACAAATTCAAAGGGTGATGAGGACTTTTCTTTGGAATCTGGGATTCAGGTAAATTTCTTCATCATATTATACAATCCTTCCTTCTCGTCCACTTTACCTGGTCTGAATTCTGGGAACTTCCTGATGTACTCTAGTGACAAAAGCAAATAAATGGCTAAACACGACATTTTACAGGCTCTGTCCGTACTTCCTTACATCCGGTACTATACCGTAGGCCTTCCAAATGGTTTTCTTGTTCTGAAATTCTGTTTTAACGAATATATGCTAGAAACCATCCAACCACTTTGCAGAAGAGAAGATAAGGCCTCAACTTCTAGGAAGTGAATTTGAGAAACTTAGAAATTCACAGGGTTTGGAAAAGAAAGATTTCAACACACCTATATCCTTTCTTCTTTCTGACTCTCTTAGTATTATACTTAAATGTTTAAAAAAAAAAAAATTTATCTGGACACTTATTTAGATCATCAGTTTGTAGAAAACAAACCAATATTACAGGAAGGACTTTTAATTTGGGATTTGTAGTTGGGATTCTGGAAGACCTCCACATGAAAGAATACATATATAAAAAAATTTCCTTTTCCTGCAGAGTCTATGGTTTTCATCAGAAATGGCTCTTAATGACAAAAGAAAAATAATCAGGTTTCAAAACACACTGGATCCAAAATTTTAAAGTAAAAAATCTATCTTTTTATGGAAAAGCTCTATGCCGTGAGAGTGGTTTACATCTTTTATATTACAGAATTAATTGCTCAGTTGAGGTACACTTAGATATTGACCTTTATATATTAGATATTTGATATTTAATATATTATTTAACTCTCATAAGTAAGAAATAAGCATTTTCTTAAACTCAAAAGGAAAAGTACACATACCTTTTTTCCAAGTCTCTGATTTTCTCTCTTAGTGGCTCAACAATCTAAAATAATAACAACCAACATTAGTTTTAAAGCAAAAATAGAGTCTTCTACCACTCTCAACCCATTGTCACACTTCAAATTGGCCATGACATAATGCAAAAGAGATTTTAATTTCTTCTATAATATATTTACACACCAACAACTAATGTCAAAGATGAGGAAATTGAAGATCTTTACCAATTTCTGCAGTCTGAAATTGATCAAACATGCAATCAAGATGCATTGATAATTACTGGTAATTGAAATGTGAAAGCTGGATACAAAGAAGGATCTGTTGTTAGAAAGTATGGCCTTGGTGATACAAAACGCCGGAGATCACACGGTAGAATTTTGCAAAACCAATGATTTTTTCATTACAAATACCTTTTTTCAACAACATAAACAATGACTATACACGTGGACCTCACTGGATGGAAAACACAGGAATCAAATGAACTACATCTGTGGAAAGAGATGATGGAAAAGCTCAATATCATCAGTCAGAACAAGGCCAGGGGCTGACTGCGGAACAGACTATCAATTACTCATATGCAAGTTCAAGTTGAAGCTGGAAAAAACTGAATAAAGGTGTGAGAGTCAAAATACGACCCTGAGTATATCCCACCTGAATTTGGAAACCATCTCAAGAATAGATCTGACACACTGAACGCTAATGACTGAAGACCAGATGAGTTATGGGATGACATCAAGGACATCATACACAAAGGAAGCAAAAGGTCATTAAAAAGACAGAAAAGAAAGAAAAGACCAAAATGGATGTCAGAAGAGACTCTGAAACTTGCTCTTGAACATAGAGTAGTTAAAACAAATAGAAGACACAATGAAGTAAAAGAGCTAAACAGAAGATTTCAAAGGTCAGCTCAAGAAGACAAAGTAAAGTATTATAATGAAATGTACAAAGACCTAGAGTTAAAAAACCAAAGGGGAAGAACACACTTGGCATTTCTTAGGCTGAAATAACTGAAGAAAAAGTTCAAGCCTTGAGTTGCAATTTTGAAGGATTCTATGGACAAAATATTGAACAACGCACAAACCATCAAAAGAAGATGGAATACAGAGTCACTGTACTATAAAGAATTGGTCAACATTCAGACATTTTTGGAGGTAGCATATGATCAAGAACTGATGGTACTGAAGGAAGAAATCCAGGCTGCACTGAAGGCATTGGCGAAAAACAGGGCTTCAGGAATTGACAAATGCCAATTGAGATGTTTCCACAAACAGATGCAGCGCTGGAGGTGCTCCTTTGTCTATGCCAAGAAATTTGGAAGACAGCTACCTGGCCAACTGACTGGAAGAGATTCATATTAGCGCCCATTCTAAAGAAAGGTGATCCAACAGAATGCAGAAATTATAGAACAATATCATTACTATCAGATGCAAGTAAAATTTAGCTAAAAATAATTCAAAAACGGCTGCAACAGTACACTGACAGGGAACTGCCAGAAATTCAAGTCAGATTCAGAAGAGGACTTGCAACAAGGGATATCATTGTTGACGTCAGCTGGAGCTTGCTTGAAAGCAAAGAATACCAGAAAGATGTTTATCTGCGTTTTATTGACTATGGAAAGGCATTCGACTGTATGGAGCATACCAAAATAAGGATAACATTGGGAAGAATGGGAATTCCAGAACACTTAATTGTGTTCATGCAGAATCTGTACGTGGACCAAGAGGCAGTCATTCGAACAGAACAAAGGGATACTGCGCAGTTTAAAATAAGGAAAGGTGTGCGTCATTGTTGTATCCTTTCACCATACTTATTCAATCTGTATGCTGAGCAAATAATCCGAGAAGCTGGACCATATGAATAAGAACGGAGCATCAGGATTAGAGAAAGACTCATCAACAATCTGCCATATGCAGATGATACAACTTTGCTTGCCGAAAGTGAAGAGGACTTGAAGCTCTTACTGATGAAGATCAAAGACCACAGCCTTCAATATGGATTGTACCTCAACATAAAGAAAACAAAAATCCTCACAATTAGACCAATAAGCAACATCATGATAAATGGTGAAAAGATTGAAGTTGTCAAGGATTTCATTTTACTTGGATCCACAATCAACGTCCATGGAAGCAGCAGTCAAGAAATCAAACAACGTGTTGCACTGGGCAATTCTCCTGCAGAAGAGCTCTTTCAAGTGTTGAAAACCTAAGATGTCATTTTGAGGACTAAGGTGCGCCTGACCCAAGCTATGATATTTCAATTACCCCATATGTATGCAAAAGCTGGACAATGAATAAGGAGGAGCGAAGAATTGATGCATTTGAATTACAGTGTTGGCGAAGAATACTGAATAAACCATGGACTGCCAGAAGAAGAAACAAGTCTGTCTTGGAAGAAGTACAGCCAGAGTGCTCCTTGGAAGGGAGGATGGTGAGACTTCATCTTACGGACTTTGGACGTGTTATCAGGAGGAACCAGTTCCCTGGAGAAAGATATCATGCTTAGTAAGGTAGAGGGTCAGCAAAAAAAAGGAAGACCCTCAACGAGACAGACTGACACAGTGGCTGCAACAATGGGCACAAACATTGCAAGGATTGTGAGGATGGCATAGGATCGGGCAGTGCTTTTTTTGTTGTACAAATAGGGTTGCTATTGGTCAGAAGTGACTCGATGGCACCTAACAACAACATAATTCACTTCCAGTTTGAATTAAGATATACCACGTGAACCAAAATTCTAGAATCTAGATGATAAATTATGTTAGAACTCTTACTCAATAGATGCCTAGGTCTGCTTACTCACCTTACTTGGAGCAATGCAAAAGGTGTTTCAGGCTCATAAAAACAGGCAGATTAACACCACCTGCTTCTTTTCAGAACTAAAGAATCCGCAAAGTGCTGCCTACAAAAGCTTAACATCTTATTTCAACAATTATATCCATGTTATCGGCTCCAGCACATAAATTACAGGCTATGAATCAAGCCACAACCATGTGTGTTAACACCCATGAGATCTGACAGAACAAGCAAGAGCAATCCAAGGTTCTTCCTACAACTCCACCATGTGGCTTCAAGTCAAATCTTCTACAAGTGAGTGACTCTCCACTCCCTCTCACAATCCCTGTTACACAGTGGACAT